GGCTCAGTTTGACAAAGCCACAACTAGGTCAACCATCAGTGGGAACTGGATTCATGGTCTGCAACATGTGCTTGCTAGCTACTACTCCATAGCAAAGTGTTGTACAAGGCTACAGTAATGAGGTCAGAGTTCTCTACACAAGCAAATTGGCCTGCAAGCTGAGCTTTCAAACTGTCACAGATGATGGCTGTTTATTTCATATACCATACTATTAATGAGACTGCAACAAGACAACTAAAAAGATAGACAGCAGGGAGAGTGAAGTTAAGCTGTTCTCCCAACAGTATTAGCATGAACACCAGAATATGAAACCATTTTATCAATTTGGTCATATATTTAGAAATGGAAAAGCTTGTTCATAGATATGACACTGGGCATAGAGTGATGGCTAGTAGCCTCAAAGAACAGTGTTGAACTAAGTAGTATGTCAACTGGATGCCCCATTTATTGAGGTACTGTGTTGGATTAAGCTATGTTTAGTAAATAAATGATGCTTGCTATTGATTAGTTCATTTCAAATACCATTCACAAGAATTTGTTGATACTTACTGTAGCCTTGTAACAGTCTACACTAAATTTTGTTAATATATACTTAGGTGGATACATAATGTATGAGTCTATCAATCTCATTTTATATTAAAAAGCCTATCTAAGGTTTTATCTGTGTTAGTCCCTTTATAAATAATCAAGAGCCAACTCTTAAACACTTACTGTAATCACATTTCCTGTCTAAAAGTATCTGGTCCCATACATCAACCATGAATACTACATTCCTCTCCATGTTACACTTACTAATAAATGGTAGTAGTTCAACAATTCAAACAGGGAATTTTGGTTTTGGACCAGCTGACGAGGTTGGTCTCCAATTCTTCCCTCATTTCATTGGTCTGCAAGCTAAAGCTCTTAGGCTGACAAAATTATTCTCTGGCAGTATCTCACAAGAAATGTAGGAGTGGATGCTGAGATCAAATGCTCTTGTTACATTCTATTGTCTCACATCTCCACTGATGACTGCCTCATACTCATATATGTAAAGAATATGTTCCTTTCAAGTATCAAGTTACAAGTTAATTTACATATGTGCATAGTAAAAGAAGGAATTTGGTCTTCATCCCATTGTCACACAGTATAGGTAAACTGAATTCGTAGGTTAGTAGTGTATAATATTTTTACTCCTTCATGTTCTATTATTAAACAAGACTGTTTGCTCAAGCCACATTGTTGAATATAGCAATATATCAATTGAGTATGTAAAATGTTTAAGACCTTGTACACAACCATATTTCAAATTCCCAAGCAAATTACAAATTACTGTATGCAACTACAAGATGTCCAAATTAGTTTGTTAAGCAAGCAGCTACAAATGACTTGTGATACACATTTGCAATTATATTTATTTACTTGGTTTTATGTTCAAGAGCTTTCTATATACTGTGTCCGTACAGGATATTGGCAATCAAGACTCCACAATTTCCTGTCCTTTGTAACTCTTAATAAATTTTGTCATCTCTCCTAAAACTTGCTTCACCATCCTTTTACTCAAGCTCACTAGGTAGGTTATGCAGTTCCCTCTTGCCATCAATCTGTCCAGTGAGTATAAAATTTTTCACGCCCACTTTCCTCATTATGTGTCCTAGAAATTTCAACTGCCTCTTCCTGATGTTAAATATAAATGTCTTTTTCATTTCCATTTTCTCTAATACTTCAGTGTTGCTCACATGTTCGGTCCATGGCATTCTCAGCATCCTACTGTGGAACCACATTTCTGTTGCTTCAAATTTCTTCTTCATCTCTGAGAAGATTGTCCAGTATTCACTGCCATATAGGAGGACTAATATTACTTAACAGTTCAGTAGTCTTTTCTTTGTTTCTAACAAAATTTTTCTCTTAATACTTTGCATAGCATTTGAAGGCATCTGTTGCACTTTCTGTCCTCTGTTAAAACACTTCCTAGATATTTAAATTTTTGTACTTGTTTGATTTTGGTATCCCCAATTTGTAATTTACATGTTGGGCTGTTCCTTTTGCTAACAACCATGCATTCTATCATCTTGTAATTTTGATATTTAGTCCTATCTTCTCGCTTTCCTTCACTACCTCTAGAGGAGTTCTTGTAGTTTCCCTTCTGTGTCTGCTATCAGCACTGTGTCATCTGTATATCTTATGTTGTTAAGATTGTGTCTACTAATAATGAATCCTGGTAAAACTTCTAATTCTCTGAGAATCGTCTCAATGTATAGGTTGAATACATCCAGTGAGAAAGCACATACTTGTCTTAATCCCTTTCTATTTTAGTATATTTACTGAATTCATTTTCTATCCATATGCAGGTGGTCTGCTGCCAGTACACATTCTGGAATTATTCTAATGTTCTTCTCAAATAGGTCAAGGTTACCTAGCAGTTCCAACAGTTCTTGGTGATGTGCTTTATCAAACACTTTTGCACATTCAATTTTTTTTTTTTTTTTTTTTTTAAGTAATACCAAGTTTGTTTTTCTAAGTAAATATTACAGCCATATTACATTTTTACCAAGATAGTATGACACATGTGTATCATATGGTTGACAAAACAAAAGTAAAAGGGTTAAAAGAGAATAAAATTATTTCATCAGCTATGACTGTAGGAAAAAAAAATTGAGTTCACTCAAGGGAGTAACTCTTCATAGACAAGAATCATATACGCTCATTTCAAAACTGCATTCAAGTTTTAATGAATATTAACTTTTATTGAAAAAACTACAAAAAGACTGAGTTTTTAAGAGGTCAATTTTTTAATTATTATTTTTATTTTTGTTCATCTCAGACAGAAAAAGTAAAGCATTTGCCCAAAGATATAAGGCACTTTGAAGACAATTGGTCATAGGATACTGATGGCTTCTTTTTTTTGTATCAGTAATTAGTAAAATTAGACCCCCCCCCATACCTGCCCTATATGCAATGAGTCCCAGAAATATTTCTCCTCCTACCTTTTAATTTTCAAATATTGCTTTATAATAGCATATCGGTTTAATCGTTTATAAAATAAAGAATTGACTCATGCACTTTTTTGATTCAGTTTTTTTTCAAGATGCCTTAACTGATCTATTCTCCAATCTTTCTCAGATAACATGGCTTTTAAATAAATTTGCCTATGACACCCAACAAGCAAATCAAAACAAACTGAATACAATGGGTCAACAGTTGACATCAATTTCCAGGAAGAAAAAATATGAAGCTTAAAATTATTTCCAGTCAGTGGTTTTCACAGTTTCAGAGCATGTAACTAACACTGTCCTAAGGCAAAAAGGATCAAGACAGAGGATTTACACTGATGGACAACTATAAAAACATTTTCATTTACCAACTGGGAATAAAAGAGATGATTTGGTAAGCCCCATGATATTTGAAATAAACTGGAGAACAGACAAGTATGGCGACAAATGTAATTAAAAAGTGACAAAAGGAATTCCAGAAATTTCAATTTACAAATATTGGACATTGGGAAATGTAGTTGTCCTCTGTTTCACAATTCTGGATATTTGCAATGTCAAAATTGAAAAAGAAAAAAAGATGTGTCATCGCTAAGAAATATATATTCTTATATACAGGGTCTATAGAAATTATCTTTACAACTTTAAAAATTTTTATTAGGCTAAGCATCTAAAGCAATTTCAAAGTCAATATTTTCATCTGATATTCAATTTGTATCACAAAATATTGTGTAAAAAAAAAAAAAAAAAAAAGTAATTGGACTTGCTCCCTGGAGAAGTTTAAAACTGTAGTGATAATTTCTGTACACCTTATTTATATACATATATATTCATATATCTACATGCATATATGTATACATCTATACTGCTTGATTGAGCTGAGAACTTTTCAGCATGCTCTCATAGATGTGTATACATGCATATATGTATATGCATATCTAAGTCAACATGCAGTGCTGATTAAAATTCAAAACAAGCAAAAAAAAAAAAAAAAAAAAAATGATTATTTACGATTTTAAAAGACATATAAAAAATAGATATAAAAATGACCTTGTATTATGTATATCCTTATTAACAAATGCTCATTCATCTAAAGTCAGATTTAACTGCTTTCAACACACTCCATACCATAAATAATAGCACCAACATTATTAGTATTATTATTTATCTCTTCTCAAGTCAGTTTACTCATCAGCATTCAAACAATTATGATTCAACATATAACATCTTGACAAGGTGCAAGAGTGTATGTATTATAATATTACATTTTTTTTTTTCACTTGGCTTTCAATCTTCTGTCAAATAGTAAGGTTTGATTTTTAAAGAATATTACTCCAAAGAATATACTGGATGGGTGTTTGATTTTGGGTGATTCTGAGCTTTAAGATTTTACATCTTCATCTCCAATGTTTACTTCTGAATGTCACTGTAAATATGGCACTTTCCTTGCATTATTGAGACACCATATAAGCCTAATAATGTTCCCCATCATTTTGTTTTCAAAAGAATCAATGTTATTTTGTATAGGCTCAGCTTGTTCATTGCAGTGGTCAGAAATATACACACATCACTTTTTAAATTTGAAAGCAAATCGAAGGATAGCAAAATAAATAAATATTAGATTCTTCCTATATTTACCTTTTAACTCATAAAGAAGTAAATTAAGGCCATCTGTAATTCACAGGTTATTTTTTAAAAAGATGAATTAAGAAGAAAATAGGAGTGATAAAAAAATTTTCTACTCCATGATAAAGTTTAATATTTTAAAAGTAGTGCACACCCATAAACAGATAAAGACAGTGTTCTCCCTTCAGTCTCTCTAAAAATGAGCTGAGGCTACAGACACTGAGGAACATTGATCATCTGAAAAGAATATACAGAATCCTAACACAATGTCTGAAGACAGATGTGACATTAAATGGAGCACAGTAAAGAACAATGAGAGGAATCAAAGATCAAAACTGCAAGAAGTTGAAACTCATTTCAAAGACCCAATTATGTGACTAACCTAATTCAAAAAAACCTTCCCTGTCAAGAGGGTTTAGATTTAACAGGGAAATAGACAGAGGCCAGAGGTGGTTGAGTAGGTCTGGAACTGAGATGAGCAGGAAGTCTGGACGAAGTAGTTATTGGAACTGGGAGAAACGGTATTGCATAGTTCTTGTTGGAAGTCAAGGGATTGCCCACAGTAGCCACCCCTCGTTTGGAAACAGCTTCTGTCTTTTTGGCAGCACTGTGGCCATCCATGGAAGAGTCACTGAAAAAAATAAAAATGTGGGTAGTCAACAAGTTGCTGCCAATGTGTGTATACAGATAGTAAATATAAGGATACAAGGGGGGGGGGTGCTGAAAATTTCTTGGCCCAGACCACTTCCCAAAATCTAACTAAACAGAAACAGCAGAGTTATTTTAATGCCCACAAAGTTTACTTGGCATTAAAATTACTAAGCTCTTTATTTATGCATGCAAGAATCAAGAAAACTTTGAAAAACATAAATAAATATATAAAAATTAATGAGAATTAAACTCCGAGAATAGATGAATGGGCTAAGTAGTTAGAATAATATAAATATTCTGATCCTGAGACCCAAGATAAAATATCACCAGGATTGATTTGTCAAGGATGTGACTTTTTTTTATATCAGCCTCAGGGAGATGATCCCAGCATGTAGCATTGTTGGGAAGTGCCTGAAAACTATACCATGGGCTGACTCAAACCTTGTGAGTGTAACTGAGAAGATGAAACTGTTTGCAAACTGTTAACATATAGTCAAACATTGTTGTTGTTCACCTCTCTTCCCTACGGGCGGGAGGAACCCGAAGGAGGCTATCTCCTTCGAGGTAGAACCCGTTTATCTCGGGTTCAAATGTCATTGGCTCGAAATACCCACGTTAAAAAGGCCTTTGATGATTCGTGAGGGACGACTAAATATAGTCATTGTGAACAAAGGTTTGAGCATTGTTCAACTACAGATTATACCAGATTTTGTGCTCCCTTCCAGAAATTGTAACTAAGGTCCACTCAACATAATTGCAGTATAAACCACAGGTTGGTTCTGTGGATGTTGAAAAAACATGTCTGAGCAGGTTTCTAAAATCAGGATTAGCTAGTCACTCTAGTGGACTCGATAGTTTCCCCAAGATTGATAGATACCAATTATGAAACTTTGTGAGAGATGGAAGAAAAGCTCCATCATTTTATGTAGTCTGCAGACCTGTCAAAAATAAAATAAGTCGTTCAAAAACTTACCAAATTTAAGACATAATTTTCATTTAAAATATTAAATTGAATTTTCATAAACAGCTGTTAAAATTAACTCACTTTTCCATATCTGTAGCTGATCCAGTTCCTGAAGAGGCAGACATCGGAGAAACCTCTTCACCGTGTCCACCAGGTAAGCATGGAGGCCGAGACACTTCGGCAATTGGAGAAATATGTCGGTTTCCAGCTGCAGGAGATGTCTGTGAAATGACTGGCTTTCGAGAAATGGCAGGATTATATTGAACCTGAGTAAATCAAAGAAAAAAAAACTGTTGAATTTATAAAATTACCTTTTATTTGTACCAGAACTATAAGGAGTTTATATGTAAGAGCTGAAAAGTTCTTGTCCCAACTAATGTGCTAAAATCCTACAAAATAGATTTTTCTTTTAATTCCTTCTTGGTATCTACAAGAACTTGTTAATACCCCATTGTACAACTTAGTTATAGATTAGTTTTCTTTATTTCATAGATTATTAGTGATACAATTCTGCTGAGGATATATATATATATATATATATATATATATATATATATATATATATATATATGAGAAGACAAGAAATTATTTGAAATATAAACTGTCATTGGACACCATTTAAATTTTACACCAAAACAGAAATCATTGTTGTTTACATAATCATATTCCCACATTTTATAATGAGTAAAATAAGTACTAAATGTAAACAATAGTTCACAAAAAGGGCCTTGTGCCATGACCAATAGGTGATAAATATTTTAATTTGGTGGAGGCAATGAAATCAAAGCAAGAAATGGTTCAGTGTTCTATGCATGACTAAGCAATTCCAATAAGAATAAGTTTAAACAAAGAAAATTTCTACCTGAAATTTAACTCCATTGTTTTGTGCCTTGTGTAATGGCAAATGTGAATTTACAGAATTTCCCTCTGGATGTGAAAATCTTGAATTTTGCCCAAAACTTGAAGGAATGAATGGTGGCTGAATATATATATAAAAAAAAAAAAAAAAAAAAAAAAAAAAAAAAAAAAAAAACACTTAAATAATTCATTTTAAGAGAAAAAAATTCTACATTTTCAGAAAATAGATCAATGCTGTATAAAAAAAAAAAAAAAAAAAAAAAAAAAAAAAAGAAAAAAAGAGAAAACAGCAAAAATGTCAGAAATCAAACAAAATCACTAATTATTAACAGCCAATAATTTCAATGTAATTTTTATATATGGGAGACCTGAGAGGAAACGAACTAGAAATTTTTTTTAAATTTCCACCCATTACAACTTTAAGACACAGGATTTGTATAAACTTTAAGAGGCAGATTAGATTTGTGTTAAAACCAATAACAAATTTAACTCAGCCCAACTAAAATGGATTAAGACTGAATACTACTAATTCAATGTAGTTAACAATGAGCTACTAGTGAGTGAAATGTTTTTTTATCTTAAATATACATATACTTAGCCAAATAAGATTACCAAAAATGACACCATTTTTTCCAATAAGTTTTAATTTTGGCAGTAGGTAGAAAGTTCAATTCTTGTCACAAGATATACAGTGCTACTTGCTGCTGAAAAGGTAAAAAAAAATGTTCAGGGTGGTCAAGCGGATCATTAAAGCTGGTTTTGAAGTGAGAACTGATCATTCAGCAAGTCACAGGTAACTTAATAACTGACCATAAACAACAGACTATAATTGATAAAGTGGCTGAATATAGATGAGTGATTTGAATAATTGACAGATCACAAGACCAAGTAACTGAATATAACAAACCATTATAGAATACTTTTGTGATTACTAATCTAACCACTTAGCAAACAGACAACTAGGTTACTTAACTGAAAGGTAACATTGCTGGCTGATGATGTTGATATGATACTTGACTTGAACTGAACCAATCAAACAGTTGATGAGATTATTTGATCAAATGGCTAAACCACATTTTCTCATAACCAATGTGTATCAACAGCTACTTACAACAGGCACTGAAACTGCAGAATGGTTTCTGAAATTGACTGCTGCTGTGGTGCCATTGATATGATGACCCAACTCATTCATACCAGTTCGAGTGCCACTCAGTTGAACTTCATTCACCTGTTTATTCAACCATTGAATCACTGCAACAAAGGAAACAAGATCAAAACACTCATAACCAGAAACAGACAAATTTTTTAATTTTGGCAACATTACCCAATTTACAAGCCACTCATTTTAAAGGTGTTTTTTTCACTGCCAAAAACAATAAAAATTAAAAGAAATTAGTTCACTAATCAGAAATAGGGAAAATTGTTTTTTGCAACTAATTTTTGTTGATTAGAATTCATTAGACCTTCCTCTAAACATGACGTTTGCCAGAATAAAAAAAATATTGAATTTTATGATTTTAGAAGTGGGGGAAGGAGTCTTGTTTATAATATAAATTGATCCCTGCTTTTTTTGTCTTTTTCAAGAGGTATGATTACCTTGTTTTCATATCAGATTTGAAACTGGATCTATGTCATTGATAACTGCATATTGCCGATGTTCTTTCTTCCAAATTTTAAATAAAATTTGGAAGAAGTTTTTGCAAAATAGATTTGTGTATTTTCCTTTTGAGCTTTGGCTTTATTACAAAGGCACTAGCACAAAGGGAGATAATACATATTTCTCTTAAATGCTAAAACGTACCTACAACCAAAGTTTTATGACATTTTGTTAATACGTTCCCCAGAGTAGACGTGTATATATGTCATTACAGAAAGTGTCTTTTTCAGACACAAATGACAAAACACGTCCAAAAAAATATTGTCCAAAAACCAGCTACAGACGTGTTTATACGTCAATCTTGATTCTTTTTATGCCCTTTTGAGCTTGAAATGAGACCAATTGTCAGCACATACGTCTGGTAGAGGTGTTAGCCACTGCTTAGGTACTTCAAGGTGCCTCAGTTTCTTAGTTACTATATTAAAAACGAATAGAAAAATTTGTCTGAAAATGAAAGGATTAAAGTAACAATTGAAGGGGTTAAAGAACAAATTGCTTGTTTTAATATTTTCTTAAAATAAATCGCATAAAAATTTATATATTTGATTGTTCTTCATTTAAGAGAAATCTGTTAAAAAACAAAACAAAAAAACTTAAATATAACCTTCCTATCTGACTAAATTAATGTCATGTACGCAGTATGGCATTACCTACAAGGATACCTTCAGTTTATATCTTGGACCGTATTACCAAACTGTAGCCTACACCCTAACTTTTATAACTTTGGAAGATTTTCATGTATTTTCAAGATAAAAAACAAAAAATGTTTTTCGAGTAGAAATCATGTAAGAAAAATATTTATCTCCCTTTGAGTAAATGTCTGTAATAAAGCCAAATTCAAGAAGAAAAATCTGTTTTTGCAAACACTACTTTAAAAGTTTCTTTAAAAATTGGAGAAAAAGGACAACATCAGCAACATACAGTTGTAAATAAAAATAAGGTAATGATGACTCTTAAAAGCAAAAAAAAAATTAGTGATTACTTTAATACCATATTTATATTATAAACAGCCACCCACCTGAAAAATGTCATGCTGAGAGAAAAGTCTAATGAAAACAAATCGACAAAAATTGGTCAGTAAACCCCCCACCACTATTTTTTTTTTTACACATGCAGATCATTTTCCCCTGAGTATTGTTAAATTGTTGTTAGTGTCATCTGAAATTGACATGACATTCCCTTAGTTAAATTAAGTAACTGAATTAAACCAAAAATTTGGAAATCTCATTTTAGTCTCCAGTACAATGTTGGTGAGGCTCATTAACCTTAAGAAAATTAAAGACAATCTAATTTCAAAGTTAATATGTTACACAACTTAATACTAGAAGAATTGTTTCAATATAAACTAAAAATAGCAAAACTGTCAGCAATTCTTCAGAAAGGCCAAACACTGTAGATAAGTCAACTGGAACATTTTACTATAAATTATAATTAATTATAAGATTTATTATTTACTTTAAATAAAAAAGTGCAAAAAATATTCCTCACCATTTTCATTAGTTTTCAGCAATTCTCGACTTTCTTCAAGCTTTTTCCTGGTGTTTTCCAAGTTTTCACAGAGTTTCTGGTTCTGTAAGCCAAAAATAAAATAAAAAATTCTTATAAATAACACAGAGTTAAAAGAAACAATGTATTGGTCAAATACTATTCACTCATTTTTTGTGATTAGAGTTTCTGATTTTATTCGGATTTATTTAAATGATATTGCTAACAATACTACAAGTACAAAAGCAGATTCTCAAGCACAGAGATGCCACCAAGAGAAAATGTGAATATTTCATTGAGAACATGTCTTTGGTTATTTGTTGTGTGGGTAATTTCAACAAAACAGAGATTGTGAATCATGAATATAAACTTATTTATCAACTCTGAGGAAAAAGGGACTGGACATTTTAACACAGACAGGACATACTAATGGCAAGAGTAAGAGGAGAAACACTGAGTGACATAATGGATTTGAGTAAATGGATGGTAGAACATGATCAAAGAGGGATGGTAAAGAATCAAAAGTTACTTAAAACAACAAAAGAGAGGAAGTTGTAGAGAGCAATGATAGAAATGTATTAATGAAAATTTGGAATTGTTCTAACTCTTTAGGTAAGCACATAGTACATGTCATCTAAGGATAACATAGAAGTGTTTAAGAAAGAACCTTTAACTTACTTAAAATGTTCAAATATACAGTAATTTATTTAGACACTAAGCATCACCCAAACAGGAGTTAAAGTCAGGATGAAATTTGTCTTACAAACTTTCAAATGGGAATGAACAGCATTAACATTTTAGCACCCATTGTTCCACTAGTGAAACATATTTTAAGACATTTTTTTAATACCAGACGAGCATTAATTTTGATTATTTTATCAATAATATGTGTGGAAAAGACTAAAATACAATATGTACATACACATTGTTAAAAAACTACTTATGACTTATTAATTTATACAGATTTTTCATCAAAATTTTGCAATCATGTCTGGGCACTAAAAGGTAAACCCAAAAAAAATCACAGTATACCTCCTCTTCCTTTTGTTTGAGATTTTCTTTCATAGAAGAAATTTCATTCTGCATTTTCTCTATGACTTGATCCTTCTCTGAAAGAATTTTCTCTTGTTCAGCTGCAATCTGGCTGCGTAATTTCACCTAAATGAGAGAAAAATCACCAGAATCAAAAATTATTTATGATAACCAATACATTTAATCTTAATTTGACAAATAACAATTTTCAGTGACATACACATCTAGTAAAACTAGAAGTTCAATTTTGTTGGATAAAAATCCCAATACTGTCAGCATGTGAGGCAAATACCTGCACAAAGACTTATTGTCTTTTATTAAAACCTGTAGTAACATTTTGGCATAAAAATAGTCTCCAGCAATTCAAGATTTTAAAAACACTCCAACATAGCATGTGATTAAATACATTTTTCAACCAATCAGAAACTAGCCTGCTGTTACTGGAAGCCTCTTTTAATTCACATAAAAATAAACAATTTGTTTCACTTCAACAGATGTATTTCAGCTTCTCATTTGCTTGCCAAAAGTCCTTAAGCAAAGGACATTAGTCATGTTCAGTTTAGTTAAACTGTTCCAACAATGACTACATGGAAAGGCTTTATTCTAAGTATATGCTTACAAAACTTCAAAATGGACTTACTAATTAATGTCCAAACTGTTTTACCTTATAGCCAAACTTCATACAGTTCATGCAAACTAACATTCAATTTGTATATATCAATCTTTACATGTCTAGTATCTGTACGAGCTTATCAACACTTAATGTAGACGACAAAGGAAGTAAGAGTCACATCCTATAATTAATAATATGTTCCCTACAAATATTCATAACATAAATTCCAAAACTAAAAAATTCTATAAAGAGCAAAAAATAAAGATGAAAAATATATCAGACTTTATTAACAATAACAATGAAAACTTTGTGTAAATAAAAAAAGTACAAAAGCTATGAACAAGACAAAAATCACTTTTAAGAGCTAACTTACAGATAACATGATTTCAAAGATGAAAATTAATAAATTAAGCTTTTTTTCAGTAAAATTAAATAAAAAAAAGCAAAAGGTTGTCATAGACAATAACATTTTTAAGAAAATATTAATTAAAAAAAAAAAAATACACAAAGTCGATAATTTAAAAAAAAAATTCTGAAATTTGTCAATATTTCCATTTTAAATTTCAACATGATAAAATGTATTAATATTCTTCCTACAAAATTACTGACATTTTAACACATTACAACAGCCATAGAATTTCAGTTATAACTTAATTTTAAAATGTGCAACCCTCTGTTATAACTTGTTTTATCTTTAATAGTTTGAGATATTAATCTATAAAAGATGACATGAGATGACTGACATGTTTGCTATATTACTAAATGCGGAAAGATTAAAAAAAATACCAACTCCAAAAACACATTTGAATTTTTTTTTTTTTACATACAGCACACAGAACAGCTTATAAGTGGGATTTGACTTCAGTCATACACTGGCTCAAACATCAAATTTATAAATTACATTCATGAAGCATACAAAGAGGTAGGCAGATTAAGGTGCTCAATACATATCCATCTTCTATTTCTTTTCAGGCTCTACTCTAACACAATGCAGATGATGACATTATATGGCAAAAAGCAAAACTGTCTTATTTGCTTTGAAAAGTTATACTAAGAATGACATCAAACATTCATACATTAACAATAACAACAAATGCATAAAGACATTAATGTTTATACTGTATGTTTCATTATGAATGAACATACAGTATATATGTTCATTCATAGTTAGGGAAAAAAAAAGTAGCAAAGGAAATTCTTACTTTGGCATGATAATTTTTATTGTCTCCTTGCAATTTGCGAATGATTTCATTCCCTTTCTTTACTTCAACAGACATCACTTTCACTTTGTTTTCCAGTTTTACGATTTCTTTTTGTTTTACGTCAATCTCCTCTTCATATTTTCTCTGGAAAACAAAAGTCAAATTTTGATATAAAGAAAAACAAATAAAAACATTTCTATTGTGAACTTGTTAAAAACTTAATTTACAAGAATGCCCAAAGCTCCAACATGAAACTTTGCAAGTCAAATCACCCTAATTATTCATTGCTATAAATACATTATTCTTATCACCACAAATTTTCAATGAAACATTTTAAATTTATAAAACTCACTAAGGCTAAAACTTTACTCTATTTTATAAAACTTAGGTAAATCCTATAAGAAATCATTGTGCTGCTCTTATGATGAATATTTCTTCAGGTCTATCTTCAGATATTGTGAAATTAATGTTGAAAAATAACAGTATATATCGGGTATAACAGCAAGATTGTCTAATTGTTAGATTAAGCTTTGAACTGTTGTATCTTAATGATTAAAGATATCTTACAAGAATTCTCTAAGTTTTTTTTATAACACTATTGAACTCTACTTTGAGCAATAAGAATGTATAATTACTCTTCAAACTTAACAGAAGAATCATCATGAAATCAATCATAAACAAAAATAACTAAGGATCGGAAGCCCATGAAGGATTGAAATAAAGTTTATATATATATATATATATATATATATATTTTATTCCAGGATCATTTTCTAACTTATTCAAGTTAGAATTTTACAATTTTAGCCCTCTCTAATCTTCTAACTTTCTGTCCTGGAGTAACAAGATACCTCACACATTTCACATACAATTTCATTTTTAAGTCTTTTTGGATTGTCTTTGGACTCCTCTCTCACATGCCAAATGTCTTATGAATTGAATTAGATCTTTTCTAATTGATCTCTTTAGCTCTAATTTGAAATGATTATCCCTCTATTTGTTGGGACCTCCTAATCCAGTTTTTCTCTCTATTGATGCCTCTTTTTTAAACATTCACCGTTCTCTTGATGGTTTTTGAATGGACTTTGAAGATGGAAGCCAGAGTATGAATTTTGATATAATTACTAAAGGCTTGAATGATTTTTTCCTCTTACCATTGCTCAACAATTGAGAAATATGAGAAGAAAATGTTAGTATAGAAGTTACAGCCATTCTAGCCATTTCAATGGTAAAATGAGGAAACCCTGCTGCCAATATAATAATGTGCATAAATTCATAGTCTAGATACTATAGATGAAAATTCACCAGAACACTTTACCAGGAAATATTTACAGAAAATGCACAGCTAAGCTACATTATGGCAATGACAAGGTGACTGAGCCAAGATGCCAGGTCAGGACCAATAGCATTGCAGATTCTTTGTATTTTATTAAGAATCTCTAAATACATAGCAGAAGCACCAGGCCAGGTGTGGCAGCAATATTCAATGTATGGATGAATGGTAGACATATAAATGTAAGATAGATTCTGGCAAGAAAAATTGTCTAGAATGACACAGTGAACCAACTTTCCTAGCACCAGAACTAGCAATTGATTCAATATGATCTTTCCACTTCATGTCGGCGGAAAAGAGTAGACTGAGAAAGCACAATGAGTCATGCTCCAGGATGTTATTTTGAATTCCTTTGTGGTTGACTGCTGCTGAATACTTTCACAAAGACATGCTTTACACAGCATATATATCACCTTTGATTGCTGCTCCAGTTTCTACCTCATCCCATGACTGCCAGATCATCAGAAACCTCACCACAAGCCTCGCCTAACACCAACTGTAACCTCGGCCAACCAACCCAAGAAATCCGTCAACTCTTGGCCCTACCAGCAACACCCTTATGCCAAATCACTTTCCTTACCAACAGCAACTAAGAAACTGCATATGAGTAATTTTTTACCACCTTTCATACAACTATGTACATATTCTGAACTTTGACCATTGCCTGTTGAAATGTTAATTGTTTGTTCTTTTCCTTTGCAACCAAATGCTCGTTATAACAATGCTTACCAGCCATCCTTTACAAAACTTAGCATAATTCTATTGGCAACTGCTGCTCTTGCTCCCAGTTTAAATTCATACAAGCTCTAACTATCGAGTTACCAGACTGATATCACTTATTATTACTCTAATGATATTCTTCTGAAAGCTTATCTAATAGCAAATAATATGTGCAGGTGGTGTAATGGTTAATGGTTCAGAATAAGAGATTGGTAAGCTGAGTTTGAATGTTGTTTGTGTTTGTACCATTTACTTTCACACAACTACCTTTAGGAAAGGTATGACTCCATCTCTTCTCCTTCCAGTTAAATAACATGATAGTCTGTGTTCTCTGTGGTTGGCAACCAGTCTAGGGAAAGGAAAATCTTTTGAATTCAAAACTGTATGTAGCCCTAGCAAAGCACATACTATGCAGCCAAAAAAAAGGATAGTGGAATTCCCAATGACACTATCATCCCAACTACAGTTGATCTGATAGAAAGAAGAGAATAGAATATGTGACAGTTTCAGGTTATTGAAAATGTTTACATAAAGTTGGCATTCAAAAATGTGTTATATGCTGATAAAAATAGAGAACTCTGAAAACTGAAAACTTTATGTCACGTGACACTCTTGTTCATTATGTTAGAAATCAATGTGTATCATGTATATGCCAAGGGGTGCAATGTGATAAAAACACCAGACATTTTTGAAAAATGCTTACTTTCTGGTCCTGCTCCGAGTCAAGCAAATCTGAAGATCTTGCCAAAACTTGCTCTTTGTCTTTGACTTCCTGTTCTAGAACTGCAATCCTTGTTCGTTGCTGGTTGATGATCTTCTCCTGCTCATGGAGGTCAGCATCCATAGCTGAATTCTGCTTACGCAGTGCCTGCACTTCCTGTTTCAGATGTTGCAATTCCTCCTCCTGTGATGAGATTCGTGATCGCATCTCACGGTGGTTAGATTCTAGTTTATATTTCTTTTCTTGCAATTCCTGAAAAATAACCAAACATTAAAAAAATTCCTGCTTTACTGTGAAGAAATGTATTTAAAAAATATAATATCAATACAAGATAACTGCAAATTAATTATATTTTTTTTAATTTCCTGCAAGCTAACATAACTTTCCAACACACACACACACACACAGGTAAGTAGGATCTTTAAAAATTCTATTATACATTTTTGTCATTTAGAAACATGAAATTATTTATATATTTTACTAATACAAAAGAAAATTTAATTAATAAATAATTGATCTATTCCTAATGAAAATACATAATTAATTTTCCTGAACTTTCTAAAATTTAATATATTTTAAAGAAGTATTTCTTTTCTTAGCTTAATATTATTACTCAGCCAAATATTAATTGTTGTCTAATTTATTAGTAACCAAGATATCTTTTTCTGTCCTAATATAATCATTAATAGATTTGTGGTCAGTAATCTCTGATGGGTGAGTACATTTGAGGAGTGCAGGAAACATAAAATATACTGCTGACAGTTATAAACAGGCAAATGTATTAACACAGATCTTTTATTGTGTCATTTTTGTTAAACAATAAAAGGTTTAAAAATGATTCAAATGAAGACCAAGAATGAGACAAAATTTCACAAATATATGACTAAGCATTTTTAAAATTTTCATGTTATGTACACATTGGAAAAATTCCATTTATTTATTAAATTTATATAAAAATATTTCTATAGATTAAATTTACAACACTTATGAATTACACATTTTATATGAAATCTCTAAAAAGCAATTTGATATAAAATAAGTTTTTTTTTACTACATCAACTTATAATGGTTATATACTGTGTTTTTAAGTAAATTTTCATAGTTTCTAAAATCACATATCCAGTTTTTAGCCTTTTTTTATTTATTTTTTATCAATTTGTCTCAAACAAGGTGATAATGCCACTAAGAAGCAACGGGCTACTAGTAGTGAAACAGATTGAAAAACTTTAGAGGGTACTGGAAACCCAAACCTAAATAGAGAGCAAGGTAAGCAAACCTGTTCAAAAAATTGGGGAGGAGTGTAAACCAGACAATAGGTGAACCTATCTACTCCTATTAAGGAGGAAAAAATAAATAAATAATTAGTAAATAAAATTTCAGAGTTCAGATCAAGACAGAAGTATAGAGTTGAAGTCAACTTTAGAAGGAACTAGAAACCCAATCCTAAACAACAAACAAAGGATAACCTCTCCTCTTGTTCAAAAGACGTTAACTTTTTAATAATTTTAATTCTCTTTCATGTCAGAATGTCATTTGCCAAAAGAATATGCTTAAATAAGTAAGTCATGACACAATGGTTTAACTTTACTGAATGTTTCACAAATATATTTTAACCTAATCAGAATATAATTCACAGAAACTAAAAACTGATTTTTATATCTGATCTGGAATTAAAAGCCATAAATGTATTAATAAACAGAGCATTTGTCATGACATTGGAAAAATCTATTTATATAAAACAGCTTATTTATTTAAAATCTATATTTGGATGCTTAAATTCTTTCCCATCATAATCCAACAATAAAAGAACCTTGTTTATGAAAAAGCAACACTAAGCATTCAATATTTGTCAATAAATAGTTCAGTCAACTTGAATAATCTTCATGATGACTCACCTTATTTGTATTCTCTAAATCATAAAGCTTAGCTTCCATCTGCTTAACAATTCTCAGATGAGACTGTTCCAATTCTTTGCGGTCATGTTCAAGTTTTGATTGACAGCTACTTTTCACCTGTGCAAAAAGAAGACATAAAAACAAGCTAAATAAAAGTCTCTCTCTCATCTTTTTACAGATAGAAATTAAAATTATAAGCAGAAAACTCAATAATGATGGACATCAAAGACAAAGCTGTTCATTTTGAATATTTTTGAACCATAATACATTCAATGATAAAATGTTCAGTAGTAACTGAAAAAATTGAATACTTTGGTATAAAAACATGTAAATTGAGCAAACAATGAGAAATGAATTCTCAAGTTATAGTTTGCAAGGAAATTAACAACTACTCCATAGATGTTTTTGTGGGTCTATTTTATATCTTGAAAGTTTTAAAATTGTTATTTTTATAACTAAGTGATGTGCATATATAATGTGAGTGATAAGACACTAAAGCAAGAACACAGAATGTGACTTTCAATTAAGACCAGAGAAATCAACAGAATCTGTCAGTATTAAGATTAATGAAGAACAAAACATATAGCATGTTCCTGACTTTAAAAAAAAATCCAATTTCTCAAGAGATCTCCTTCCTTTATGCTTTCATTTGATTAGAGAAAATAAAAAGTCAAAATATTTTTGTCTTTTTTCTTATCTCTTATTCACCTACTTATAAAAAAATGTTAAGACAACCTTCATAAATTAGATCAATTATAATACTACTGAAGATTAAATATAATTTAATGCAAAAGAAAAGGATAACCGAGTTTATGAAGTCCAAGAAGATTAGAGGTTTTATTTTCTTATAATTTTTCTTATTCTTTAGGTGGTCATCCACTAGAACAAATTCTCTTTTCCTAACAGAATTCAAGAGATGAATCTGGTGTTTAAAAAAAAAAGAAATCCCTTTTGGTAACTTTATTCATATATTTAATGCAGTTTTTTTTAGTATGTATTAATTGAAGAAATGTTCTTTTCTAAATTCAATGAGTGGAGTTATTCTTCATAGTTCAAGGTAAGCATAATGCATGCCAAAATATATCTGTACGTAGACATACAATGCCACTTAAATATACAAAGATATTTTCTAATTTAATATTTCATTATAAAATATTGTCAATAAATAACATACTTGAACAGATCAATAACTTTGATAACTATTAAAAGAGTATCTTATTTAAATGTGTTCAGAAAATATAAATTATATAATCTTAAGGTGATATAAAAAATATACCATATTAGACTTGTAACAATAGAATGCAAGTTTGGTCATTCAAATCACAAGCCTTAAAGAAAAAACTTTTTGGTTTATTAATATGAATATAGATTACCCAGTATCAAGTAAGGTTTTTCTTCAACTTACAAGACTTCTTTGATACAACAGCAAAAAACACAATTCTTTTGTAAGATCTTATGAAGTTTTAAGCGTTATATATTTAAAGCATGTGAATATGTTGGTAAAAAAATTTAACTTTAAAAATATTGACAAAAGATTTTAAAATTTACCTCAAGTGCTTTCTCTTTTTCCAAGGCAAGTTCCTCCTTGTGAGCACTCTTCATTTCATTTATTTTGGATGACCACTGCGATTTTAATGTTTCCAGTTCTGAACATTTTGATGTGAGTGACTATACACACACAAAGAAAAAAAAAGATAAAAATATTTACTTAATATCAGAAAACACTAAAATATCTTTTTTAACCATTTTACAAATTATAAATAAATAACTGAACATCATTAACAAAAAAAATATTTCTATAAACAAAATTTTATACAAATGTTTTTTCATAACTTTAAATAGCAATCTGGAGGTGATTTTAAATCTCTAAATGACAAAAGCTACAAAGAAATCCAAAGAATAAAAATTGATTACAAATCTTTTCAATTTTATCTAAACAAAAATATTACATGAAATCGAGATAATCTCCTGAAGTTAGTGATCAGACAACTGCTAGTAAATTGGTACAAGAAATTGGGAGCCAAATTAATTTCACTTTGTTTTTATTGCCTGGAAAAATTTGCTGTTTACGCCTTCAAAGAAAGGTAAATTAAAATGGCTTTCATGTTGAATTGCTTATTGTTTCAAATAAGACCAGGCAAGACTAATCTCAGTTTCTGACATTGTAACCTTGGAAAAGGTAAAAAAGGTTAAAAGAAAAATGTACAAATTCTAACATACTTCCTGAGTTTGTTGCAGACGTTGGGTGAGGTCTTCATTTGTGTGTTCCAAGCGTTGATGCAAGAGTTCATTTGTCTCTTTCAACTGCTTCAAACAATCTGCAAGGTACTTCTTGATGTCACTGTCTTGTCCCGGGATAAATTTTAAAGACAAGTGGATCAGATGCTTGAAAGGATTTGTTTCCACAATGTTCAGAACATGAACACAATGATCACTATTGTTTCCTCCTTGACCCACAAACTGTAGAATAAACCTGAAAAAAAAAAAAAAAAAAAAAAATTTATGACCAGAGACAATCAAAATTAAATTTTACCCTAGAATTCCCTTTGTTTACCTTCCTCTGTTCCAAATATTCAACATCTTAGTGATTTAATAAACTATTAGCAAAGATCCAGCAGGCAACCATCCCTGAATACAGGTTTGCTTAAAAGATCAGCAGGAAGTGTAACTTAGGTCATTAGGTTACTGAATATGAGAGTCACCTGCAGAAACATAATAATTATAACACCTAAGATGAGGATATAAGTCTGAATGTAAAGGCATATAATGATAATTCCTTACGTGAAAAATTCCAACAAAACTCACTGATCTATTCATTTATTTATTTATTTATTTTACAAGAATCTCTTTTTATAGAAAGTTGCAATCCAATTATCAAACAAAAGTTCAAATTTAAATTTATCTCTACCTTCCTTAGATTTTTATTACTTACTTTGGAAGATCTTTTCCTTCTTCCAACAAACACATATTCAATAAATCTACCACCTTTTGGGGGAAGGCACTGAAATCAACCAAAAGGCCCTGCTGAGTTTTCAGGCTAGATGAAAGAAAGAAAAATCAGAAAAACTTTCAGATATTAGTATTATTTTCACTTAAATAAATATTTCCAATAAAAAATATGTTCATTTTTATATTACTGCAACATTTAGAAGGCTAACTACTCAAGTATCCAAAGTATAACTGCTGGACATAATTGCAATTAAAGATTTTATATTTTTCCAATTCAAAATAGTAGCTTTTCACATCAAATCTTTTCTGCTTAGAAGACAATAATTTTATTCAGACACCAATTATGTTGAATTTCAAAATAAAAAGAGCAAAATCAGCTAGTATTTTGTATAAAAACTAAAAAGCAGAGCAAATCATGAGAATGACTAATAAATGCCACATATATCAAAAGATACAAAAAGACAAGACATGAACTGACAGCATTTATTTCTTTTGAATAACAGGACATAGAAATAATAAATGAATATCAAAAACAAATTATAATTGATGTTTGCAACAGAAATTTAAACTGAAAAATTCAAATACTCATAAAAATCTGTTGAAAAATTTAATAAAGATCAATAAATACTTACTACTGGAAATCCTCTTCTCCTAACTTCAATGTGTACAGGAAAAACAAATCTTTTTCATTTGTTAACCGTATCATTAGCTCCTAAAAGAGAATTTAAAAAGATTTTTAAACTAAGTTGCTAATAATGAAAAGTGAAGGAAAAAGACATTTTTGAACATAACACTATATTTTATACAAAAAGGTTCCATTATATTTTTATAGGTTTACTAAAATGTACTATTTAAAAACATGAACATATCACAAAATGAAAACATCAGTTTTGCATAATGACTTATAAAAGTGCAAAACATTTTTTCCAGTCTGTCATGTAAAACCCAAATGCTCTAAAACAGACACAAATATTCTCAAACTGCCCCTTTTCTCTCTTACAAGAAGACTTCTTACAAGCCTTCCTGTGTAAATGAGAATAAACGTATGTCTTAAAAATTGGTATTTATTCAATATGATTGGAACTCCAGAATTCTTTCTTTTGGTGTGTAAAGGAAAGAGATTCCTCAGGATTTAATTTTGTCAATATATATTCTATTTTCCAAGATTTGATAAATTTACGTTTTTTTTTTAAATTTTTTTTTTGTTTTTGTTTTTTTTAAACATAGGCATAGCTTCAGGATGTAAGCAATCATACCTCTCCATCAATTCTATTTCTTTATTTTTTTTTTTTTTAAGGCAATTCACCCCAATCAAGGCAGGAGTGCCACTAGCACACAAGGGGTTACAGAGGATTGAGAACAAGAGTAAAGAGCCGTGTTTGAGAAAAGGATACAGAGAAGGATGGGGAACAAGATCAGGGTGTCAAATATCAATTGACATTACACTTGAATATTTGAAGAAGATTATAGTTATCAGGGAAGCAAGTAAGAGGAAGGGAGTTCCACAGATGGGAAGTGCAGGAGAAGAAACTCTTTGAGAAGAAGAGACAGTTACATTTAATTGTTTTGACAGTGAAAGGGTGGGACTGAGATGCCAGCCTGGTAGCATGTTTAAATTCATGTAGTCTGGGAACCAGCGAAAGTAGCTCGTCAGAACAGTTGCCATGAAAACATAGAAGAGACAGAGGGAGGTCACAACACATCTGTGGGATTGTGATTGTAGACTAGATGCCAGATGAGGACCTATCATCTTGAATATTTATCTCAGGATTTTGTCAAGGACCTTGAGACATACAGTGGGGGCACCAGATCATATATGACAGCAATATTCCATGCAAGGACAGATAGTTGATTTATAGATTTGAAGGATGAACTTGGACGAAAAAAACTTTCTGGCACAACACAAAGAGCCAACTTTCCTTATGATAGATGAAGCTATTGATTCAATGTATTTATTCCACCTTATGTCAGTGAACAGCGTGAGACCAAGCAAGCGTAACAAGGCACTCTCAAGGAATTAGGAATCAGTTATTCTGATGGGAGGCAAGAAGGGATCTCTGTGGTGGGTAAAGAAGAGCAGTTTCATTTTGGAGGCATTAAAATTTACAAGCCATTGCCTGCCCCAGTCAACCACAGATTGGAGGTCCTTTTCAAGATCAGCAGCCAGGTTAGTTTTGTCAATGATACTAGATTTACTATAGAGGCAGGAGTAAATAGTGGTGTCGAACTGATGACATCGGGAAGGTCATTGATGAAGATCAGGAACAGTTTAGGGCCCAAGATAGAGCCTTGGGGGACACCAGCTTTGTGATAAAAGAGCTGGAGGAGAACCTGTTTAGGACTTTCATTTCACGGTTTGACAGGAACGATTGTATTAAGTCAAATAATCATCTTTGAAGCTTACAAATTTTTTTATTATCAGTGAATTGTCAGGACTTCTTGGAATAAATAATAAACTAACCTGTCTATCACCCAAGGCTATTATTTATTCCATAGCTGAGGAGATAAGGCATAAGTACAAAAATGAATGCATTAGACTAGGTAGGAATTTGAACTCAGTTCACCGATTCTCCTTTTCCTGTTGATAACAGTTATACCTCTTAAACATCCCTATTTTATAACACACTTCTAAATTTTTAATCTACTGTACATTCATAATCTAAATACAAAATGACAGGCAGTTTTGACAATATCAAGATTTGGATAACCTTACTAAACACACATTAATCAGACTGCATTTGATTACTGTACCACAACAGGAATAAAATATGTAAATAAATATTGATCATTTTATTAGTGTTTGATTCAATTATATATACAAATGTGATGAGAAAACAGGAAAAAAATGAAATTACCTTTTTCTGGATCGGGTCCATTACATGGACAATCTCCATCTTGAAATGAAGATGGACTTTCCTGCAAAAGATATTTGCTGACTTTTTAATAACATAAAAAAATAAATCACTCAATGTTATCTAATTATAAAGTCTTAAGTATCAGAACTAATAAGCAAAGTTGATTAAGGGAGAATAAATACTGATAAAAAGGAATTATAAAACTAACTGAATGAAAATTTCTGTAATTTAATACTTTTGCAAATTACCAATAGGTAATTAAATAATTTACAGAAGTTACAGCTTTCCATAAAAATACATCAAATCTAAATGAAGGAACAGTAAGCAACAGCCATAACAGAGTGCACTTTATTTATTATAATTATCCTATCTGTTAATTCACAATATGTCCTTCCTTCCTGATGTCATCAGTTCCTGACTCAATATCTATGCTGATGACAACTAATTTACTCCTGTCTTAATAACAAGTCTGATAGGTTCAATAAAATCAAATTGGCAGATGATCTCAAAAATGACTTTCAATCTGTTGTTAACTGGGCAAGAAGTGGTTTGTTAATTTCAATGCATCAAAAACAAAACTAATTAAAGAATCTTTCTTGCCTTCCATCAATCAGCATGGTTGATGCTAACCTTCAGAATAGCAACTCTGTGCACCATCTTGATCTCACATATTCCACTGACATGAAATGGAATGAATCGCTAAGTATGTTGCTAGAAAACTCAGTTCACTATGTTGTGCTAGACATTTTTTCTTGCCAGAATCTATCTTGCACATTTATAAGTCTACCATTTGTTCATGCATTGAATATTGTTGCCATATCTGGTCTGGTGATTCTACAATGTGTCTAGAGATTCATGATAAAATTCAAAGAAGATTTGGCAACATTATCAGTCTTGACCAGGTATCTCAGCTTCAGTTACTTTCCTACTTACCGTAACATAGCCTCCTTTTGCCTATTCTATAAATATTTTCACAGTCATTGTTCTGATGAGTTTTTTTGTTTTCTCATTGGTACTTCATGAAATGAAGCACAATACTAGATTGGCAGCTAGGTTTCAAATTCACTGTCAAAATTGCTAGTTGTAACCATATGTTCTATGCTAATAGTTTCTAATCTCACACTTCTCACTTGTAGTGTTTTCTTCCAGCTTCTGGCTTTCCTGTCAACTATGATCTTCAAAAATTTAACTGTCAACAGGCATCTCTGTCACTTTGAATCCTGTTCCTTTTATTGTCCACTGTTTCTTTCATGCCCCCTTGCATCTTAATAACTTTTACTGCTTTGCTTGAGGTGAAATGACAAAAAAACAATCATGAAAAGAATTTCAAATTTTCAATAGATTTTTTTTTATCTCTTACAAAATGATTTTAAAAATATTTTCAAACAAAATCATCCACTTATATACATAATAAAATAAATGACAGTCACTCATGGCAAGCCTGAGATTAAATCTACTGTTCATCAGTAGAACTATGATCTAAATTAATAAAAGTAATTGTAATATTTCAAAACTCTAAATAATTATGACAACATCTAAATTTTGAAACACCCTTGATTGAAAATTTAGGAAATGTAATCTGGATATAAATGAACCTAAGATATAAAAATAGACTCAATAAATTAGGTAATAAATGCAAACCAATTATCCGAATATACACCAGGATAAAAAAAAAAATGGAGAAAGTATGGAGTGGTAGCATTAAAATTTTAAACTTGAAATATTTCTTTAAAACACATAAGTAAAAAAAAAAGAAAAAAAGAAAGACAAAAACATTATTTTTGCCTTTTTGATTCTTAGATATAGAGAATGATTATGTAATTTCTCTCTCTCTCTCTCTCTCTATATATATATATAGATACACACACAAACGAATCCACAGCATCACTGCTAACTGCAAAAATGATTAAAGTTCAGAAGCCCTTTATATAGGCACCAAAGTGATATCTAAAGTTTAAAATGAACTTTTAAAAGTTGAAAATCTTTCTTGAAGCTTTTATTTTAGTTTTAATTTCATGCTAATAGATTAAATTTAATATTTCCAATAAGCAAAATACTTTGCTGCATTTCAAACTGAATTTAAATTGTTTTGAAAAAAAAAACAATTTCTAAAAATGGTCAATTTTAGCCATAATTACAAATCTCTCAGCAAAACAATTCTCTTTATTAAAAATCAAAAAATATAATATATTTTTCTGAAATTTTATTTGTGGAAGATTTGCCAATTTAAAGTTTAATTAATCTAATTTGAAACAAATATTACTTACTTTTAGTTTAAATATTGCTGAAAAGCATTTTTTAACATAATGGTGGGTGGTTTTATAAGGTGTCGACAACTATGCATGGAATTTTTTTTCTACAGGGAACATATCTGTAAAAATTATTAGATGGATATAAAATGAATGCCTTTTTTCTTTTTTTTAATTACCTAGTAATCTTACAAATTTAGGGAAATATTCTAAGTAATCTAATGTTTTAGTGAACTTTAGGTACTTTGGCTTTAAATTTACTCTAGTTACTGCTCTTATTTTCTGATTAAGTTGTGTATGGAAGCCCTGTATACACAAAAATTGGCATGTTCACTCTCTCACACACACACAAAAAAAAAATTCAAAATTCAAAATTCTTTTTACAATACGAGGAGGGGGTCAATAAATTGTAGTAGGCCTTTCAATTTATGATGAGTAAAGTAATAGCTTTTACTTAATTACAACATCACCTAACTCATACATATTAATACAGAATTTTAAAAGATTTAAAACTTTAAAAATTATTATAATTAAAATTTTAAAAAATAAAAGCAATTCTTGTAAAAATTCATTTTGCATTGAAAAAAAATTTTTTTTTCTTAAGACAATAGTGTCCAAAATATATCTTATTCATAAAAGCAATTAAAATCTTTTCTAATTAAATATGGTTTTAGTTTTATTTTGTTTTTTAAATTTATTATTCAGAGCAGATTTTTTCTAACTTTGGGTCCTGTTCTATAAGAACAAATTGATGATTTAAATTTTTCAAGGACATGTGCTTATAACTAACATAAACATTAAGCCCTACAAAAATGAATTTCTTGAAATTTCATAAAATTAAATAAGTGGTTGGTAAAAGATGTTAAAAAAAAAAAAAAAATAATTATACCATGATTTTCTAAAACAGAAACACTTCTAAAATAATTTCATTCATTTGTGAATAAGTCCTGAAAGTTTCATTACAATGAGACAATTATTGGATTTTTGCAAGAATTTCCAAATCAACGTGTTTTTTACTGCAAAGACTTAAATTTTCTATACTAATTTATGGTCATCCACTGATGCAAAAAAAAAATCTTTAACCAAAATTTTGAAGCTTCTAAAAAAGGATTAAAAAATATAATTTAATAATCAAAAAATCCTTTGGTCTTTCCTCTTAATAATAACAAAGATTTTGATGATTTTGTTTTTATTATGTTTGGAAAGTCATATTTGCTATTTGAGGTTAAATTTCATTTCATAGTCATAACAATGGTAAACTGACAACAATTCAAATACCATTCTGGTGATTTCTAGACTTTCAATCTTCTTTCCTAGAACAAAACTAAAACTGGCCTGGTTGTAAGTGGATATCAACATTTAATTTTGGCAAGTTCCTTTATTCTTTGTTTTCTTTAACAGAACATTCTATATGGGTCATCACATATCAAATTACCCAGTGCTCCCCAGATCACACTCTCAGATTCTGATTAAAAAAAAAAATCCATACCAAATAGAGAAATTCCAAACAGTAGGCCTTTGTTTTTAATAGTTTTGATATTAAGTCTTTGAAATTTTTTGCATTTTGCCAAATGAGTTTTTCATCTAACTTCAGACATTCATAGTCCCTTTGATATATAAACAGATCAGGAATATCTCTTTTATTCCCCTCCACCCCAAATGAAAAGGAATGAAAAGCTAAAGAATAAAAAGACAATGTCTCATTAGAGAGCTTCTTACTAAAACAATGTTAGATAAATTACAGATCTTTACTATTATTCATAACTTATTAGGATATATATCTGCAATAACTGTATTTATTATAGTTACTCAATTATTAGAATAATTGTTTGAAATGTGTTTCAATTTTAAATTGTCTCACAACTATTTTCATGTCATTTGACCATGTGTGCAGTTAAAAAAAGAAATTTTATATTTTTACTCCCATGTATTTTTGCATATCTGAAGATAATGACAAAAATTTTGGTTTTTTTTTTAGGTTCGATCTGAAGTAAAAAAAATCTCTTTAAAAGAATGAACTCTCATGCTGTAAACATGATTTGGCCAACTTTGGCACTTTGTAATTTTGCTATTTAAGATATCAAGCTGAAATGTCATAATCTTGTAATAAACTAAGTTGTTATGTAACCATCAAAATAAGTAAAATGTTTTTTTAGAAGTATCTTCTAAATGTTCACCTGATTGCAGAAAGTAAATTAAGGACATTGAAATAAGAATTTTAGTGGATTATTTTTATTTGATGTACTGTATTGAGAAAAACACTGAAGCAATGTTTAAAATCAATAGAAAAACTTGTTGATAACAATATCAAAACCATTACAGTAAAAATTCAACATTTTACATGCTTGAAAATAATGCAGAAAACTGAAAAAAAAATGGTCCAAATAAATCAATTTACAGAAATCAAAACAGAAATATAACTTGGTGTCATTTTCTCACCAGTACATTTTTATCCACTATTTAATATCTAAAAGGAAGTTGTATTTTTATATTTTGAAAATTTCAACCTCATGGCTATAATGGCCACTCCTTCAATATGCTAAGTTTAAATCCCTCTTGATACAGAAATTTAGATTAATACTTTAAAAGGGCAATAAGTAAAACAAGAACTCAAAAATATATTTAGGCTGAGAGAAATCTTATTAAAACTTTGAGCCTGAAAGGCAAATATTATAGATTAACTAGCAGCATGGCCCAGCATTGCCCGTGCTTGATTCAAAAATCGTATGACTCGTACAGCAATCGCTATCACTTGACTTAAAATATTTTTGCCCCTCCTTGCCTTTAAAGGAGTGCCCTTTGCCATGCTGAT